CAGAAGCGGTTTGTAGACGTCACCTTCACAATTCCACACTTTAGATAAAATAGCTGCTTTTTTAGAATATTTTTACTTCAAAAATTCTAAAATTCAGTTCGCAAAGGAGATAGAGACATACAATTCTTTAGCTTTTCTAGATGTGTTAGTAATTCGGAATCCTGACAACACCTTGAGCCATACTGCGTGTAGAAAAAAAACCCATTCAGATAATTCTCACCAACATTCTTCACAGTTATCTACCTAGTTTTTTATTAGTGATCGATGACCGTGGGTAAATCTTTGTTTCAGAGATCACGAGGGATCTGTGACAGTAAACACCTGGCCGTCGAGCTCCATAACACGTAAAGCTAGTTTAGCATGACAATAAGATTCGGGTCACGCGTCTACGTCTCAGTGTGTACTGCCATATGTCAGAGATATCACTGATAAGATTGGCTACATCTTACATTACAACATACTTCAAGTTGCCGAAGGAGTATAGTCAGTTTTGAACATCAGTTCAGTGTAATGTACCTTTAGATGCAGGAGTGTACAAAATTGATTGTGAATGTGGTTTCTCTTACATAGGACAATCTAAAAGATCAATAAAGCGTTAAAGAACACACAGCTAATGTGAAGAAATGACGCTCCGGGAAGTCTGCAGTCTGTGAACACGTACAGGATCGCCCCCGTCACTATATCAAATTTGATAGACCACAAATCCTCACTAAAGAACCCCAATTCTTCCCAAGGATGATTCTCGAGGCTATTGAAATCAAAAACATCCTTTTGTTTTTTTCAATTATAATAGCGAATATGGCAGGGAGCTACTATCCGCTTGGAATCCTATAATAATAAAATTGTATCCCAACCCAAGCATACAACTGCAAAATTTTAAGGTACTATAAATTCATAAAGCGTAGATCGGAACCAACATTGATAATTTTAATTTGGAGGTAGTCGTGGTTAATTATGACATTGAGACGTCGAATACCTCCCCGTGACCATGGGTGTTATAAGTGCTCGAAACGTCAGGATATAAAATAAGATAATATACGCGATAAAATCTGTAAAAACTCGTTTTATTTAAATGTGTAGTTTTCGCTTAAATATAAGAAATCAGTTTCCCTATGTCGCCTCTTACGGCAGCCACGGGATGATATGCGGTAGTAAGCTTCCATGTTAGCGTAATTTTTAATTTTTAATAAAGGTCTGTTTTTTTGCTACAATTTGCTTTCTTTGCCATTAATTAAATGTCAGTTTATTAAACCAATTAGTCAAACCTATGGTCAAGCCAAAGATATACTCATTGGCTTGACCATAGGTTTGGCCAAAGACAATATTTTTTTAAATTAAGGTAAATATAACTTTAAGAGTCATTACCATGTTTTTATCCAAAAATAAAAATTATCAACAATTGAAATATCGAATTATTTGTATGAAAGTCACGTGAGCGCTAGAGAAACGACGATTGTAAGACATTTGTTGATAAATAAAATGTTTAATGAAATAGTACAGTAAAAAAGAATTTAACTTTTCACTAAATTTCCGGTCCAATTTTATTTTTTTATAAGGTTTAGGATCACTTACTGAGCATAAAATCACAAAATGCTGACAGATCCAGGTGGCGCTTCAAGCGCCATCTTGGAAAAAGGTTTACAGCAGATATCTCGAAAACTATGCACTTTGAGGCAAAAGTTATAGAACCCATTATTGTAGAAAATAAAACTTATATATTTCGTTAAAGGCGTCCTTTCTAAATATTACTATACTCTTTGGCGCGGTCTACAAGGTGACATTTAGAGAATCCAAATGGATTCTTTGAGATTTTAAAGGTTAACTAAATTCTTTGATACGAGTATATCAATAATTTGATTTTCAAAAGGCATTATTCACTTAAACGTGATTTAATTCTGGTAAAATTCCAGATAAAAAAATCTCTTTCGATACAAAGAATTCTTATTAAGGCCAGGAAAGTTTTGAATGTAATTGTTTTGAACTTTCACGACACCTTGAGCAAGAAGTTCATTACTAACAAAGTTTTAGCAGTCGTCTAGCTAAGATATTGAACAATGCTTTAACTGTAACGTTGCGAAACAGTTTTTACTTGCTTTTTATTTTTTCTTTAATATCTCTTTGAATGCCAACGCCTGTCTTTTGGCAGGGTGGGACATTGAAACGCGCTTCATAGTGTACTTCTAGCCCACCTTCTTAGGTAATAATGATTCACACTTTTCAGCTAATTCACTGCAATTTTTAAGTGATTTACTGCCTAGCAGGTTCATTATAGCTTCCGCCATATGGTATATGGTGAACCAGACAGGACTTGATGTAACACTGAAAGATCATTTCTATGAGTAGTGTATTTCCAGGAAGATATTGGTACTGAGACTGAATTAGGAGTATGATCTTGGATATACATAATCAAATATTTTATTTGGGGATGCATTTTGTATAGTTTTATTTTAATCTTTTATCAGAAGCACGTGTTTTATGTTTAATTTAATGAATAAATTCACCTATAAAATTATTTATGTATGTTATGATTAATGATTATGATATGATTAATGTTATGATAAAATATTTGCATACGTTGTAGTGTACCGCTTAAGTTATATTATAGATGTACTCGTAGCACGACTGGGTCATCTCTACGGGGCCACGCTCTCACAGAATACCAGCATAAAATAGAGAGTGTGTAGAGATCCGGAGACCCTTTTTACTTACTCCATCTTAGTCCTCAGTTAAATGTCTATAGGCCACAGCATCCATTTACCATCAGGTGGACTGTGTGCTCATTTGTCACACTTATTATTTCAAAAATAGCCGGAGGTCTGAGAAATTTGTAGGTTGGCTGAATGTGGGAAAGGTTGTGTATCCGAACGTGAGACTTTATGATAATGTGTTGTAAATATGCGTATACACATAAATATTATGTATGTGTTATATTTACATATTCATATTCCATCTATATAGTGAGATTGAGATGTTCTATGGGCAGCTGTACACATCGTCGTTGGAGCCACACGCGAGTGTTATTAACGATCCAAGAGCAAGCCTTATCCGACACTATTTCGATGATATGCCGAACATCAGTTTGAATGAGATTAGAATGGCTCTCCAGCACCATAAAAATGGCAATGCCCCAGGCGAAGATAGAATTACAGTGCAGCTTCTGAAAGCGGGTAGAAAACCGGTACTTAAAGTCCTTAGAAGCTCTTCATTCCGTCTTCCATGGTGGCACTGCTCCAGAGGTGTGGAGCGTAAGTGCGATGGTCTTGTTCGTCAAGAAAGGTGACAACGCTCTCTTGAAGAATTGCAGACCGACTTCCGTTTTGAGCCGCGTCTATGTGCTGTTTTCGAAAGCCATTACGAATCGTCTCGCACACAGACTCGACGACTTCCAGCCTCCCGAACAAGCCAGTTTCCGAAAAGGCTTCAAAACCATAGACCACGTACATACCCTCCGGCAGCTTTTACAGAAGACAGAAGAGTACAATCCGCCACATTGCCTTGCGTATGTAAGCTATCAAAAAGCCTTTGATTCCGTTGAGACTTGGGCAGTGCTACAGTCCCTTCAGCCAAGTTGATTTTTGATATATCGAATTAATGAAGTTTTGGTACAGTAAGGCTAAGACGGCTATTCGAGTACAGAACCAGATTACGAAACCTATCCTACTGCAGAGAGTTGTAAGACAGGCTGAAGTTATATCCTCGAAAGTCTTCACTGCTGCATTGAAGACGTTATCAAGCTACTGAACTGGAAAGGATACGGCATTAACATCAATGGCGAGCACATCACTCACCTTCGATTTGCCGACGATAAAGCCCTTATGGCAGAATCACTAGAGGACCTAAGCACTATGCTCAATATCTCAGTAGTGTATTCCAGCGGATAGTTCTTAAGATGAACATGGACATAACCAAGATCATGTTTCATGACCGTATCAAACCTATGCTGGTAGTTGTTGGGAGCACTAAGCTCGAAGTTGTCGACAAGCAAGTTTACCTGGGATAAATATTCTGACTTTTACTTGACTATTTAAGTCCAACTTCGACCGAGAGGTTAATCAACCAATTCAAAATTAGAAAGCTACGCTTGGGGTTTCTGTACATGATAAACTTAGAAATGAGGATATCTGCTGTGGAAACAGAGTGACCGACATAGCCCAACGGGTAAGTAAACTGAAGTGGCAATGGGCCGGCCATATAGCTCGAAGAGCCGACAACTGATGGGGAAAAAAGGTTCTCGAGTGGCAGCCTCGTACTGGTAGACGTAGTGTAGAGACCCTTCACTAGATGGAGTGACGATCTGGTAAGATATGCAGGAAGTTGATGGATGCAGTTGGCTCAGGACCATGCTTTGTGGCATTTCTGATGATGATTTTATCTGAAATACACATACTGTGGGCTAAAATTTTGATTGTAGGTATAATAATAATATAATAACATTTTTTTATTTATATAGTTTTCTTTCTTTTTCGAAAGGCGTAGGGAAGTGACGACCCCATCGCCCGCTGACGTAACGGTTATGTGACAAAACCGCTACGTCAGCGCAGTCAGTCAGCACCTTGCCAAGAGGTGTTAGTGCCGTGCCTTGGCAAAAATTGAATGTGTAAAGGCCCGCTTGTGCACATGGCCTCACCATGAAACGGCGCCGGGTCTGGGCGTCTCCCGCTAAATGACGCCCACCACTATGGATGATGGAATACGGAAGAACGCGCAAAGGGCCGCTGCCTGGAGGTCGCCAGGGCGCGTCTGGAGCTGGCGCTGGACGCGGCAGCATGCGAACCGCCAGCCGAGCGCGAGGTGCTGCACGACCACCCAGCAGCCCCTCGCATCCATCATCCCCACCAGCTGGCTTGGTGTCGGCAGGGTCTTCGCGGGCCCAGCAATCGGCACCCGCCTCTGGTGGAGTACGCCGCATGCGTTGGACAACCCAGATGAACAGCAACGCATTGCGGGCGTATTTTAGGGCGAAAGGGGGAGAAACTGGATGTTTGGCGTATCGGGCTAGGATGCATCGTCTTTTTGCTGAGCTGGAGCCATCTTTAACCGTCACAGAGCAAAACCTGGCAGACCGAGTTCGGTATATCTTGCGCTCAAATATATTTGATGTCGCCGAACTCGAACGGCTACGACGTGAGGCTGTTCCCTCGTCGGATGAGAATGCTACGGCTGAGGATGCGGCGCCACAAATGGTAGAGCAACCCGCAAACGTGGATGCCGCCGTGAATACCCCAGTTGTGGTTGATTCAAACGATGATGGAACAGTCGCCCAGGAACTGGAATTAGAGCATATGAGGAGTACATTGGAAGAGGCGATTGTGGAAACGCGCAGTACGCCTCTCGAAAATCGACCGCGACTTCCCCGCATAGCCCTAAGCAAGCAGAATCGGGCTGTCGTGAGGGCTCTGAACCCAATGCTGGTGACCTATTTGGAAGCCAGCCGGGACCTTGCAAGACGGACTCAATTCTTTTTGGCGCCGCGCTGGCAGTCTGCCGTATCATAGGCGCCAAGGTTTCCACGGCTGGACGCGCTACTGGCCATAGTAGCGCTATCCCAGCATGGAGAAGAAGAATTGAGGAACGTATCGCAAAGGCTAGAGCTCTCATCGGCAGACTGATATGCTTCAGATCAGGCAACAACAGGCCAAGAATTGTGCGCACCGTCAGGATGGCGTTTGCTGGGACAAATGTCAGTTTGTCCCAGCCGGATATAACGCAAAAACTGACGGAGCGCATAGATGATCTGAAGCAGAGAATCGCTGCTTGGGGAAAGCGGATTCGGCGATATACCGAGAGGTCGACACGGTTCAACCAGAATCGTCTCTTCCAGAGTAATCAGAAGAGGCTCTATGAATCATTGGAGCGACCAATGGTAAGTGGAACGGGTCGAGCACCGAATCAGGCCGACACTGTAGCATTCTGGCGCGGCCTGTGGTCAGAGCCCGTAAACCACAGCGAGGGCCCTTGGACGGAAGTTGTGGCGAGTCAGTGTGCGGGTATTACGCCCATGGACCCCGTCATCATAACGCCGGATGACGTAGCTGAGGCGGTCCGTAGGGCCCCGAACTGGAAAAGTCCGGGGCTTGACGGGCTGCATCACTACTGGCTGAAGGGGTTCATTGTGTGTCACTCTGTGCTTGCCCGACAGTTTCAAGAGGCTCTCAACCAGAAGTCGCTCCCAAGCCTCTTCACTACTGGGATCACTCATTTGGTTCCTAAAGACCAGGGTACCACAGACCCGAGCAAATACCGCCCCATCACGTGTCTACCGACCATAGACCAAGACACTAACATCCATTTTGAGCGCGAGAATCACTTGTCACCTGGACTCAAATCAGGTGATGTCGCGCGCTCAAAATGGATGTCGGGGCGGTGGTCGTGGAACCAAGGAACCACTCCTCATTGACGCGGTCATTGGCAAAGTGGTGAAACGCAACCGTCGGAACTTCTCCGCCGCCTGGATAGACTACAGAAAGGCATTCGACTCGGTGCCCCATACATGGCTAAAGAGAGTCCTCGAGCTGTACAAGATAGACTGTACAGTTAGAGACTTCCTCGAGCAGTGTATGGGGCAGTGGAGTACGATCCTTTGTCATCTGGGCGAGCGGATGATGGCTGCGGAGAACCACATAAGGATAAGAAGGGGTATCTTCCAGGGCGATTGTCTGAGTCCAATCTGGTTCTGCCTCTCTCTGAACCCTCTCAGTACCTTACTGGAGGGCTCCGGGAGGGGATTTCAGCTACGGAGAGGAGGGACAAAAGTGACCCACCTTTTCTATATGGATGACCTCAAGTTATTCGCCTCCAGTCGCTCCCATCTTATGGAATTGCTAAAAATCACTTGTGAATTTAGCAATTCCATTGGAATGGAGCTTGGGTCGGATAAGTGTGCGGTCCTCCATGTTGAAGGGGGAAGGGTTGCTAACTCTGAGGGCGTAGACTTATCTATGCCCCTCAACTTAAGGACCCTTTCCGAGGCTGAAACATACCGATACCTGGGTATGTCACAAAACATCGGTATCGATGAGACTGGTATGAAACAGTCAGTTTGCGACGTGTTTTATGCACGCTTGACCAAAGTGCTTAACAGCCTTTTGTCCGGTGTGAATAAGGCACACGCATATAACGGCTGGGTCATGCCTGTCCTCATGTATACCTTTGGCATACTCAGGTGGACTCAGACTGAACTTAACGCCCTGGATAGAAAAGTCCGCACTACCATGACGTCCCATAGGATGCATCATCCGAAATCGTCGGTAATGAGGTTGTACTTGTCGCGGAAGCATGGTGGTCGTGGCTTCTTGAGCGCGCTCACCATGCATAATCGCGAAGTGTGCAGCCTCCGTGATTACTTCCTGGCGAGATCGGATGATCCATTCTATAAGGGCGTCATTTCTTGTGATAAAGGACTTACCCCTCTATCCTTAGCCAACGAGCAATGGCAAGACCCGGCAGTGCAGAGCATTTCCGACCGAGAGACCGTATGGAAGGAGAAGGAGCTCCACGGGAGGTTCTACAAGGCTCTACATGAGCCTTTCGTAGACACAGTAGCCTCCCTCCACTGGCTACGCTTTGGTGATCTCTTCGGGGGAAACCGAGGGTTTTGTCTGTGCAATACAGGATCAGGTTATTAAGACCAACAACTATCGGAGATACATCCTAAAGGATGGCACCGTCGACATCTGTCGAGCTTGTCGCCATCCCGGTGAGTCACTTAGGCATGTTATCTCCGGTTGTTCGGCGCTTTCTAACTCTGAGTACTTGCACAGGCACAACCTAGTAGCCAGAATTCTATACCAGGAGCTCGCTCTGAAATACGGTCTCGTGGACCGGAAATTGCCGTACTACAAGTACTTCTCGGAAGCCGTGCTCGAAAATGATCGCGCCAGGCTCTATTGGGACCGGGCCATCATCACAGACAGGACTATTCTTGCGAATAAGCCTGATATTGTGCTGATGGACCGGGCACAGTCAAGGATATTTTTGGTCGACATTACCATTCCGTATGACGAGAACCTCGTGAAAGCCGAAACAGACAAGCAAACAAAATATCTGGACCTGGCTCACGAGGTGACCGACATGTGGGGTGGTCTGCCGACCGAAATTATTCCTGTAGTCGTCTCTGCAAACGGGCTAATCCCAGTCAGCCTCTCGGGTCATCTGAGGCGGCTGGGACTACGTGGCGGACCGCTCCAGGTTCAAATGCAGAAGGCGGTGCTCCTCGATACCGCCCGCATCGTCCGCCGGTTTCTTTCCCTTTCCCCCTAACCCTCGGCCGTTTGGTCTCCCCTGCCGAGGGCCTCCATCTGGTTGGGCTTTTATTTATTTATGTACTTTTATATTTATTTTATGTTATTGATATTTATGTATATTTATTTTTTCATTTTCATTTATAATTATATATTTATAGAACCCTTATTTAATTTATTTATTTATGTATTTTTGTATTTATTTTATTGATATTTATGTATATTTAACTTTTCATTTTAATTTGTAATTATATATTTATAGAACCCAACGAGATGAGAAAACTATACATATAGATACCCCACATAATAATTCATTTATTGCATTACTGTGTATAAGTAAAAGATGACATATACATATACACTATACAAAATATTCAAACCTGGTATTAACTGTTAAAAATTGCCAGGGATAAATGTGTTTATTGCATTATTGAAACGCTGTTGCGGTTGGGACAAACGACTGTAACCCTATACTAACAACAACCACTGTTCTAACAATAAATTTATGTCGATTTGTTTAGGGTATTTGAGTAATGTTGTTTTTACCAAATTTAGTGCGTTTTACTGTTTGAACAAATGAATTTGAGGCGGACACTGGAGCTTAGCTCTGAAAATATACATGAAACTGTTTGATGAATTCCTACGCGTTTTGTTACACTTATTAAATTGACTTTTAATTCCCAACGTTTCGGGTATTTTGTAGCTCTTATAGTCACGAGCAATTCGTTGAAGTCTGATGTTATAATTAACCCAGGTTACCGACAACATAAAATCATATTTTTCTTTTAATCTATTTTTAGTCTGATCTGTGCATAATAAGCGTACAGTGTCGTAAAGTTTTACATCAAATTTAATAAACAACAAATTCTCATGAAAGACTTTTTGAAATGCGTCTTATATTTTCGTTATATTTACGTAACGTGAATACATTTTATTGCAAATTTGATTTCAATATACGAATGGATATACCGAATGGGCACTTCGTTTAGATTTCCTATTTCACAATCACATTTCCATAAACCCGATTGAATACGTTGAATATTTTAAGTACTAAAGGGGACTAGTATTATACATATAGGCAAAGAAAAACGCAACGTACTATATTTATTAGTTTATTATGTATTTAGCAAACATGCAAAGGTTTTATAATAAACCTAATACTGAAAAATGAACACACAGTTCACCTGATGGTAAGTGGGTGCAGTGACTCAGAGATATATAAATCTATCCGCGATGAAGATTCAAAATGTTGCTGTTTTCACGTTGAGGACGCTACTCGTAGCCTAAATACTAGTATGATAATTAAATATAACACACATAAGATAGTTATGTAGTAAGGGACATTAGTTATAAGATATGTTATGATTAAGAACGAAACTTTAGTACAAAAACTGCACGGAAATATTAGTTTATGCTTATGACATCACTGTTTCCATAGTTAAATAAACATCTTTGTTGTATATATTTAACTGAATACGAAAACGCGTGGACCCATTTAAATTTTTAAAATAAATTTCATCTATAATAATGGAAAAATAGAGGATAAAATTTTAATGATACTACATACAAACATAAAATACTCACGCCTGTCATCCAGAGGCGTAACAATGACTATGGATTTCTATTACTCACGAACCTGTCACACCTCTCTAACCTCCTCCACATCCATATACTTACGAATACATGCTCGTCGGTTAAGGGTACTCTTAATTTGGCCCATTTTTGGTCAATAAACTTTCGCTTATTGTGTTCCATCCAGACTTTGCCGTTCACTTCTTCAACACAGATTTGCTTTGTTACTCTCTCCTCGTTCATTCTTTCTACTTAACAAAACCACGGAAGCATTCATTTCTTGACCTTGGTCACAGCATTATCTTGTAAACCACACTATTCTCTATCTATCATTCAGATTCAGCCCTAACACAGTCTTTATTGACCGCATTTCTATAGCATTTATTCTATTCTCATTTTCTTCTGCCACACTCAACTTGATCATCGGCGTACAAAAGGCATTTGTCGGTTAAATGTCCATAAATAGGTTGAACAGTTTATCCTGAAACAAGTGCTTGAGTCTCTGTACTTCAATGCATGTATCGACCCAGCGCTTAACCCCAAATTAGTTCAGTGTTTGCCTAGCATTTCCCTTTCCACTTTAACAGAAGCCCTTTCAAAGTCCATGAACGCACAAAATACTTTTTGGTTTTTTTTAGCCCAAAACTTCTCCGCGATCATGCGCATGGAAAATACTTGATCCG